CCGCAACCGTGGAGGGCTTCTCTCCTTTCGCCCGGGGGGCCTGGATCTCGGCCTGGTGGGGCCTGCCGGCCTTGGGCGCTTCACTCGCTCGCCTGGTGGGGCCTGCCAGCCTCGGGCATGCCAGCCTCGGACCTGCCAGCCTTGGGCCTGCCAGCCGTGGCTTTCTTTCGAAGAGGAATCAGCGGCATATTTTGGAGGTCCGCGGAGATGTCTTGGGCCCTCATGCCGCTGTGATTGTCGCGCGCCTCGCCAGAATTGAAGCGACGTGTATACCGGAGGTTGGTCGGAGGGTGTCTCTGCACGTACTCAGCCTAGAAGTAAAATAAGCTCCGCGGAGGGCCAGGGGCTCCTTCCAAGGTGGCCGTGGACTGTGGACTCGTGAGTACTGGTCGAAGCCCAGTGTCGTTCTCGAGTTGTATCCCAGCTTCGGTCGGCAGCAGAGGCTTCCCGCACATTGGGGCATGTGTGTCTTCCATATTCATGAACATTCGCTCGCTGCGAGCTACGCTCTAGCGCCATGCGCTGGTTCAGCGGCCACTCGGCCTCGCGTTCACAATCGGTTATCGATGTCTCTGCGCGCCTCCATGCAGCGTCATTCGTTCGCCTCGTTCGCTTTGCGCGATGAAGACATCGAGGATGGAGTTCCGAGGTTTTCCTCTTTCGGGATTCTGGGCGTCGCCACACCAGGATTTTCTAGGAAATTCTGGTCAGAACCCACCCCTGGAGAGGTTGGGAAGAACAGGGGCCATCGAGGAAAGGAATCATTGACGTTTTCGCCGCTTCTGGGCATCTGGTGCACTTCCTGGGACTCGGGACTCGGGCTTTCACCAAACTGTCCAGGATGAAAAGCCAATCTAGGCCCCCCAATTTCTCAACTGAGGTGCTCCCCTCAGCCCTCGCATTTTCTTGCTCGTCAGGGAAAACCTTCGTTCCCCGTCTGTTTGGGCCCGCCCTCCTGAGACTTCCTCACAATTTGGCCTGACGCTTCCTCGCAACTTGCGTAAGATTTCAGAGTTGAGAGTATTTGTGTTTTCGCCACTCAGGATGCTTTCGCCTGGGGGTTTCCTTGAATGAAAGAGCGCGATCTGTAGGCGTCTGAGTGGGGGGGGAGGTTTCAAGCCAGCCCCGCCCCCTAAACATGCCAGACGTACGGAAACCAGGGCGACTCCCTCCCCCGCCCCCTTCGCGCATAGGGGAGGGGGCTTTCAACACCCCCCCCGTCGGCGTCGGCAAACGACGACGACAAGGAGGAGGAGGAGGAGGAGTAGGAGGAGGAGGAGGAGGAGAAGAAGGAGAAGTAGAAGGAGGAGGAGGAGGAGGAGGAGGAGGACGACGTCGCCGACCGGCGCCAGGGGTGGGTGTTGAACCCCCCTCCTCTTGCGCGAGGGGGTGGGAGTTTTGTGGGCAGGGGGGGTCTGTGTGAGGTGGGGGCGTCCGGTTCGCCAGCTGCTTGGGATGTTTCGCACCCAAGCACCCGTGAAACGCGCTTTCCCTTCGATTTATTCGCCATGCCCTATGTATGGGTTTCAATTATTTGCAGAGCCCTCCCCCTCACTCCTCCCGCTTTCCCCATTAAATGTCAGAATCACGTGCGCTGAGGCTCACACAAATTCACTTATAGTTCTTCAGGCTCACCCATACTTAGACTCGCTCATGCTACTGTTCCCTCGTGCTCGGACTCAGTATTCCCTCGTGCTTAGGCTCAGTAAACCTCAGACTCGCTCACACTCGAACCCACTCATGCGCGTATCCAAACATACTCATATTCATTCATAATTACTCAGACTCGATCGCATTTATCGAAGACGCCTACGGCGAATCACCGCCGGCCCCCTGCTTTTTAGAATCGCCCATGTGGCCGAGCGTTGTGGCAAGAGCTCCGCCAAGTTATCGGACCATGTGTTCCCCCAACCGTTGTGGAAACCCTCCGGGGAACATTTGGGGCAGGATGGCGGGGAAGATCAGGAGGAGGCGGAGGTGATCTTTTCTTCATGGTTTTGCCGATCGGCGCGGGCCCCAAGACCCCCCTTCCCCCCCTTCCCCCCCTCCCCATGGAGTAGATCTTGGCTGTTTTTGGCGCCTGTTTCGAGCGGGCGGAGTCCCCCCCATAATGGACGCACTGCTGCAAACAGTCGTGCTAAGCAGAGGTCTGGAGCCAGACCTCCCCCTCCCCCCCCTTCCCTCCCAATGTCGAAACGCCGAACAAACAACTCACGAGGAGGAGGTGGAGGAGGAGGAGGAGGAGGCGGAGGAGGAGGTGGAGGAGGAGTAGGAGGAGGAGGGGACATCTCGGGAGCCTCTTGGGACACTCTTGGGGCCTCCTGGGAGCTTCCTGGGAGCCTCTTGGAGTCATCTTGGGGGCTTCCTTGGGCCTCTTGGGGGCCTTTGGGGGCTTCTCGGGGGCCTCTTTGGCCGTCTTGCTGGGCTCCTGGCCCGTCTGACGCCGTCGGAAGCCGTCTTGGGGGCCTCTGGGCCGACTTGGGGCCCCCTTGGGGTGCTCCAGGGCCGTCTTGGAGGCTTCCTGGGGCGTCTTAGAGGCCTCTTGGGCCGTCTTGGGCCCTCCTGGGGCCGTCTTGGGGGCCTCTTGGGCCGTCATGGGGCCCTCTTGGAGACCTCGTGGGCGATCTTGGGGCGATCTTGAGCCGTCGGTAGGCCGAAAAGAAGCAAAGGCCAAAATCCTTTCAACACCTAAGGCAAATCATTGATTTGGGCCTCTGCGAAACTTCCTGGAGGCCCTCTTGGAGGCCTCTTGGGCCGTCTTGGGCCATCTTAGAGCCATCTTCGGCAGTCTTGGTGGGCTCCTGACCCGTCTGACGCCGTCGGAAGCCGTCTTGGGAGCCTCTCTGTGCCGACTTGGGGCCCTCTTGGGGTGCTCCAGGGCCGTCTTGGAGGCTTTCTTGGGCGTCTTAGAGGTCTGTTGGGCCGCCTTTGGGCCCTCTTGGGCCGTTCTGGTTGGGCCATCTTGGGGCGATCTTTGGGGGCTCTTGGGCCGTCTCGGGCCGTTGGAAAGCCGAAAATAATCAAATACCAAAATCCTTCAAACACCTTAGGATCATTTATGATTTTGGCCCTTTCGGACCTTCCTGGAGGCCCTCTGGGAGGCCTCTTGGGCCGTGTTGGGCCATCTCATGGCCATCTTGGGCCGTCTTGGTGGGCTCCTGGCCCGTCTGACGCCGTCGGAGGCCGTCTTGGGGGCCTCTCTGGGCCGATTAGGGACCCTCTTGGGGTGCACCAGGGCCGTCTTGGAGGCTTCATGGGGCGTCTTAGAGGCCTCTTGGGCCGTCTTTGGGCCCTCCTGGGGCCGTCTTGGGCGCCTCTTGGGCAGTCCTGAGGCCATCTTGGAGACCTCTTGGGCGCTCCGGGGGCGATCTTTGGGGCCTCTTGGGCCGTCTTGGGCCGTCGGAAGGCAGAAAAAGAGCAAATACGACAGTCTTTCAAAAATCTAAGGAGAATCAATTATTTTAGCCTCTTCGGGCCCTCCTGGAGGACCTCTCGGAGGCTTCTTGGGCCGTCTTGGAGGCCTCTTGGGCAGCTCTTAGGCAGTCTTGGGCCGTCTTGGAGGCTTCTTGGGCGGACTTGGAAGTATCTTGGACCCGTCTTGGAGGCCATCTTGGCCATCTTGGAGGCATCTTGGAGGCCAGCTTGGGCCATCTTGGAGCCGTCTGGAGCAGGAAAATCCTTGGCAACTGGGTCTTCCGGCCCTCTGGGTGGCTGGCGCGACGGGCCGGAGCCCCAGGGAGAGTCTTTTTGGAAAAGAGCCCAAACCAAAACGGTAGTGTCTAGCACGCCGGGCACCCCTGTGACAAGCATAGGGGGCGGCGGGTGACGGAAAGCGCGCGTAGCGTCTCGATCCTAGACGCCTACGGCGAATCACCGCCGCCACCTGCCTTTTTGGAAGCGCCTATGTGGCCGAACGTTGAGGCCAGACTGCCAAGGTATCGGAACTGATGTTCCTCGAATCGGTTTGGAAAGCCTTCGGGGAACACGTGGGCATCTTGAAGGTCATCTTGGCCGCCTGGAGGCCATTTTGACCCTTTCGGGCCTTCTTGGAGGACGTCTTGGAGGGCTCTTGGGCCGTCTTGGAGGTCATCTTGAGCGTCTTGGAGGCCTCTTGGGCCGTCTTGGGGGCCTCTTGGGGCCGTCTTGGGCCTCTTGGGCGATCTTTGGGGGCGCTTGGGCAGTCTCGGGCTGTCGGAAGGCCGAAAAGAAGCAAATGCCACAATCCTTCCAAAACCCATGGGAAATCAATTTTCGGCTTTCCTGGAGGCCCTCTTGGATGCCTCTTGGGCCGTCTCGGGCCATCTTAGTGTCATCTTCGACCGATTTGGTGGGCCCCTGGCCCGTCCGACGCCGTCGGAAGCCGTTTGGGGGGCCTCTCTGAGCCGACTTGGGGCCCTCTTGAAATGCTCCAGGGCCGTCCTGGAGGCCATCTTGGGCGTCTTCAAAGCCTCCTGGGCCGTCTTGGGGCCCTCTTGGGGCAGTCTTGGGGGCATCTTGGAGGCCTCTTGGGCGATCTTTGGGCGATCTTAGGGGGCTCTTCGGCCGCCTCGGGCCGTCGGAAGGCCGAAAAGAAGCAAATGTCACAATCCTTCAACAACCTATGTAAAATCAATGTGTTGGCCTTTTCTGGCCTTCCTCGAGGCCCTCTTGGAGGCCTCTTGGGCCATCTTGGAGGCCTCTTCGGGGCTTCTTGGGCCGTTGTGAAGGCATCTTGAGGCCATCTTGACCGTCTTGGAGGCCATCATTGCCGTCTTGGAGGCCCTTTTGGGGGCCCTCTTGGCGCCTTCTTGGAGGCCTCTTGGGCCGCTCTGGGACCATCTTGGAGGCCTCGTGGGCGATCTTTGGGGCCTCTTGCGCCGTCGTGGGCCGTCGGAAAGCAGAAAAGAAACAAAAGCCAAAATCCTTGAAAAACCGAACAAAAATCAATAATTTTGACTTCTTGTGCCTTCTTGCTCTTGAGGGCCTCTTGGGCCGTCTTGGAGGCCATCTTGGGCGTCTTG